AAATATTTGTCAACCCTTTTTCTTATACAAGTCTGTCCAAAACAATATAGATGTTGCAATTTTCTTATGATCCGTCAAAGTGCGTTTGCTTCTTCAGACACGAGGCAAGTCGCTGTCTGCTGTCAACAGGGCTGATGATGCACAAGATCCCACTGCTGGCTGGCTCTGTAGATCATCACTACTAGACATGAGCCACTGTGCTGACTTACTCTTACATGTCCTCTGACAGCTTCTTTTGGTGGCTCAGAGGTACAGAAACTTCAGCCTCTTATGCCAACTCATTACAGAACTGACACCACAGCAGAAAACTGTCCAAGGCTTGACTTGCACTAAGAATTTTTTGTATTCAGGTCCACATGTTGCAAATCGATCGTGTGTCACTCGAAATATGTTTCGAGTGTCCAACACAACGATCGAGCCTCTCTGCTATAGCTTTCAAAGGAATGGATGACACTCTTGTTTTATCCAATTCCTCTGGTAGCCCTGGTACCACCTGCTTTAATAATTTTAGGCAAATCTGTAACCAAAAACAACAAAAAGTGACCAGACATATTTTTACACAATCAAATTAAAACCATGCTTATCTTCAATCTGCCAGTATAAGAGCAACTCCTCACAAGTTCAGAACTGTTCAAAGGGAATCATCATCTATTTCTCATCATTATCCCCAAGTCTTCACCCATGAACAACCTGCGATTACCCTCATCATCCTTATGGACACCCTGACATTCATAAGTGAATCTATTGACGATTACAATTATGGAGAGTGATTGAGCTCATCCCTTAAGTTCCAGCACCTGCTCCTGAAACATGCAGGGTCTGTAAATGGAACAATTAAGATAATTGACTGTACAAGCCCCATTAATAAAGCCTGCGCTGCAGCTTGGAGTGGCGATTTGATTAATTCTCTAATGGAGAAGCCCGTGTTCCTCCATTGTTCTTCATTTGCCCTCTTTATTCCATCTGACAGTTATTTCCTGCGAGAAGGGTTTTATTTTGGACAGCAATTACGGTGTTTGAATGGACAAAGACTGAACGGCAAACAGTGTCTAGGTGACAGATAATCAATGTTTATGCAGTAACTAAGTGCAAGTTAAACGTTTGGCTTCTTAAACAGAATGGTATTGATATTTTCACAGTGAACAAAGTTCAGAAACAGGAATGAAATAAAAAGAAAACAAAAAAAGGATGGTGCAAAAATGTTGGTATTGCCAGGGGTACAAAACAAAAAGATTGTATGTAAAAACAAATAAATCCTACTAGATGATGGCCGAGGCTCGTAAGGGAGTCAGCATCCACAATGACCTGTGACCCTTATTCACAACGGCTGAAACGCCACAGAGGCACAAAGATGCAAAATAAAATGGGAGATTACAGTTTGCAAAGGCCCTCAGGGACAAAGACCTAACTTTTTATAGACATGTTGTGCAATGTAGCAAAACTAAAATTGAACTGCTTGGACATAATGACAATCATTACATTTGGAGGAATGAGGAGGAAACTCCTAAGCACCAGCCATCTCTGAAGTCTTTTCATAATAGAGAGACGTTCCAGTGAATATTCAACTATAAATTAAAAGACTTGCATGTTATAAAAACAGATTTCTTAATCAGGTTTTGTCAGGTTAAAGTTGTGCCCTTTTCTTCACATGTAGTTGAATAACTTTACAGTTCAAATTTTAGTAGCCAAGGTGTTCAAATGAGAGTAAGAGTCATACATCAAAACACTTTACACTACAGTAGACAGATTCATCACACCAGGAACTTGAAATGACTGTTGCTCACTTTGGCATCATTTGACAACATTTTTAGAAGTGGCCAGATGCTGGAAAAGTGGCAACTTTTCAGACAAACTTAAATGGTGTAATTAGGAGTTACCAAAGTATCCCTAGATCAAATCTGGTCATTTGCTCTGCTCTGTGGAAAGCTAAAAGAGAAGTGAACAAAAATTAATATGGTAATTTGTTAGTACGGAACAATACAAGTTTTTTTTAATGTAGTTTTTAGCTGTAAGAGCTGAATCTAGAGTTTGCACATAAAGGAAGAACTTGTCAAAATGTTGGCTAAACATAAAGCAAAAAGGTAGAATTGCTTGAACTGACACATGCTAACTCTTAATCTTGTTTGCCTTATGTTACTCTGAATGCACTGAAATATTTACAAATATTCACATTAGTAAAGGTGCAACAATAAAAAATAATCTGTGTTTCCTTCACTAGTTCTTTGCCATTCAGTAAAAAAGTGTTTCAATAAATAAGATAGCTAACACATATAGAGCACTGTGTTAGGCCACCTTGACTGGTAGTGTATATTTTTTTGTTTCAGGGATTCGGTGCCTTGCAGGTTTTAGAGTTTTAGACCAACCTGTATGATCGCCACTTCTACCCCTTTATGAGCAGGAAACCTGGATACTTAATAAAGCGTATGCTTTTGGGGGTTTCTCTCCATTTCACTTCACAGAAATGCCTGGCTTTCTGTCTTGTGACCTGTCTAATTCGTTTAAGAATTACGTGTGTTCTTCAGCTGCTTCCTAATAAAATAAGTGTGCACAGCTGCTTCTGGCTCACATGTATCTGGTGATTTGCTTTAAGGGCCTCTTCATGGTATCTGTAATAGAAGACAAATACCCTCTGGGTCAACAAAACCAAGGTCTGGTTTTCCATCCCTCAGAGGAAAAAAATAAACATGGGTTGCTCTAGGTAATCATGGCAAAACCACGAAAGAATTTCAAATTATCCTGAATTTATTTTCCATTAGGTCTGCGTTGAAATCAAAAAGGCCAATTTCGCTTGGACAGAAAAAGATTATAAAAATATTTTCAGGGAAGCTCGTCATATCTGAAATGAAATAACTTCCCTGTTCACCCCCTACCTCCTAATGTGTGTACATTTACACTGCAACAACAAAAACCTGAAGACATTTAGCTATGCTGCAAGCAGAGACACAAACTAACAGCTTCTCTTTAGACACACTCCAAGATTTTTGGAACGGTCAGCATGGGTCCACTTCTTCCAAACCAACCGAGAATGTGTTTATTTTTCCCATGCAGATTTGAGGGCAACAACATTTCCCCCTTGTGCAAAGGTGAAAAGGGCAACAAACTACTGGCTTAAGGGACAAAAAGGTAGCTAAATATCATTAACAAGCCATCATTTACAATATCACAAACAAACCCAGAAGAAAATATGCGCTAAGTAGTTTCAAGGCTTTTTTTCTTCCCCAACTGAAATGCCTCTCATGAGGTTTCAGGCAGCCTGCCAGCCAAATCTAATATGGATTTATATACAAAGAAAGTGCTCAGTTTAACATAATGAATATTTAATCATGCATGGACCCGGTAAAGCAATTTTGCTGAAATAATTGAAAGCAGACTATGACTCTAGGCTGGGGGAACAGCAACAGCTAAACTGTTGACCCAAAGGAGCCCAAAAATCTCATGCTGGATTACTGCTGGCACACACTCTGATAAATGAAGTTAGGAATCTGGGCTGGAATCAGTGGGTGTTAAATCTGGTGATTCTATCAGGGCACAAACACAAACACACACACACACACACGCACACACACACACACGCACACACACAGAAACATCTGCCGAGACAAGGCATATGCTCATGTTAGACAACTCTATCCTTCAACAGTATTTTGACTATTATCCTGTAAATAAGCACCAAGTCAAGTCGAAATCATGAGAGCAACACAGCATCTGTGGCAAAGTATGTAAGCTGTCAATTTAAATTTAGTTAGCATGTACAAAAATATTTGATCTTACACAAGATTTTAATTAAATGACCAAATAAAATCTACAAGTTCTCCAGAAACTCATCTTTAGAACTGAAAAACTGAAAGATTCATCTAGTTTTGTACAAGTAGCATGTGAAATTGACCCTTTTCCTTATTATTATTATTATTATTATTATAGCACAGAATATACAAAGAAAAATGTTTGACGACATTGCGAAGCAGCAATTTACAGCAAAATACAAGAAAAGCTGCACTTCAATACGAGAAGATGGCTCCACCTCTTATTTATAGGAGGAAGAGAGGCCATAAGCGGATTTGAGGAAAAGTGTTCACTTATGCAAAATAAAACAGGTTATCTGGTCTATTTGGTGATTCCCCAGCACCCTTAATAAATCAGCTTAGGGTGCAGCCTAACGGCTTCATTCACCCTACAAATCTCTGCACTTCAATAACATGCACCAGCGAGCACAGATTAATTTAATAACTCCTTAATATTCTCCATGAAAAAGAACAGGAGACCAGCGACTCAGGAGCATACGGGGAGGGAGGTGAGGGCGGCTATCTGTGGAGTAGGATATTGCTGCAGCAACAGATTGAATATTACGTAATGATGTCATTTATATTCGATTGGAAGTGTTTAGCTCCCCAGACTGGGGACTCAAACAGATCTAGAGACTTGTCTATGATGGAGACCAGTAATGAGAGAAAGATTTGGTGGCTATAGTAGTTGTGAAAAAAGGCACAAAGGTGAACAGATTGTGTTAAAGTGTAAACGCTGTCGGTAAACACGTAAATGAAATGCGTTTCATTTGTATATACGAAGAAACTTATTCTATCAACTCATAAGACATTCAAAGATGATTTCTTCTTTTTTTATGATTTCTTCTAATTTTTTGTGTTTTAAAAAGAAGAAAAGTGAACTTTACACAATAAAAGACTAAGTTTGACAAAGTAATATTGACATTACTTTCTATAAGCATGTGAATGTCTCAATGTAGCGCTTTGGTGTATTCTGAACTTGATGAACCGCCAAACAAGTACAGGCAATTTACCATAAAACTGAATTAAGCTTTCTTAAATAGAAAATTAAAAATATAAAGATGCATTAATTGCATTTATATTTCTGAATCCCATTTGGATGAAAAGAAATTTCAAAATGCTTAATGTTTAAAAGTTGAGAAAAAATTTCTAGTTTAAAGGCAAACAAAGAAATTATTAAATGTGCATTTTTTACTGCAAAGCACAAATTCATTTTAATTCAAAAATACTTTATTAATCCCAAAGGGGAATTAAATGTTGTTGTAACTCAGTAATTTAAATTCTTCAGAGATAACAGCTGTCAACAATATTGATACAAAATGCAACTTTTCAGGTAAGCAACAAGTAAAATCACATTTCCACACCAGGTGCACCATCAGGTGCTGGTGCAGAGTGATGTCTGAAGAGGACAAAACCAAGAGTCATACTAAAAAGACTCGCTAACAAATAAGTGCAAAGTTCAGCTTTAAAACACATACAGGAAGGTCAAGTTAATATACTGAAGATTGGTAAAAACTTCTCATCTCATAAAATTACATTTTCAGTCACAGATATTGAAACTTTATTTCCAGATAAACTACTTTTTTTTTGTTTTTGTTTTTTTTTGCGAATGCCCCTTGATTTCCTCAGCTATTAGCAACATTGGTTCAGTATTTCCACTTTATTTTTGCTTTTCTAAACATTACTACAAACATACTAGCTCAAAGATGATTAACAATATTTTAATGCTGAGGCTTAATGCATAACAATCAATGTCTATTTTCTTATTTTCCATCAGAAATAATAGATATCCTGCAATAAGCAAAACGAGACAAAACGTCCACACTGGAAACAAGTACAGTGAGCTCCAAGTGGCACACAGGGGCAGGAGCAGAGCTCGCAGTCGGTATAATGAGAAGGTTTAATATATATATATTTGCATTTGACAGTAGCCTGAAGCAAAGGTCTTCCATCTGTTTCCTATTGGAGAGGGAACAGGAGGTAAGGTGAACACAAACAATCAGTGGAGTAGAGTGACACCTTGTGGCAGAAGTTTAGAAGTTTACACAAACTTTTAATAAAGGTTGTCATACTGGCTCTGTAAATGTGGAGCTTCTCATTTAAATTATTTCAGTATAAGTGATAATAAAGATGTGCACAAGAATGCCTTAAGGTTTACCTTTTGTCATTTTAGACAATTTTTATGATATATTTTAGTTGATGCATACAAGAAATGCTTTAAAATATAAGCAAATATTATATTACATAAAAATACATTTGTCAATTTACTGGATGTAAATTTACTTGTGCCTTTCAATCAGAAAATGTGAGATGCGGTCAAAATTTAGACCTAAACACCAGATGGCTTATACACAACCTTTACAGTGGGATAATATTTTGATTACCGAAAAGTTTTTAGTTCACAAAAAAAAAAAGCTGGTTAAATATTTAAATTAACTGAGAGGGGAACAATCTTTGCCTCGTCCCTTATTCGTTCTCAAAGGAACATGGGAATCGGCTGACAGTGACTAAAGATTTGTTTGCATATCAAGTGACTGTCGTTTGTGCAGGTAGATTAAACACTAAGGTCAATGTTGAACCTGTAAAAGCACTCGACAAAGAATGGCATTACAGTTGTTATTAATGTGTTTGTTTTAACTTGGTACACACACACTGCTTTGTGTGTGTATTAGAGGTGGTGTGAGAGGCTTTTAGCAAGATCAACAGGCAAAGTGGGTAAACAGGCTTACCAGTGGCCATCACCTGTGGAGGATGTTATAGCTTTACCCAGCACACAGACCCTGCCTTTAGCTTTTAAACTGTGAAAACAAGACATTGTGGGACTTTCACAGGCCTCATAAAGCCTTATCTCACCACTGTCCCCAGCATGCTGTGCTTTCTCAGCATGAGCCCAAATGGATTTATTCTGTTTTCCCATAGTGATATAAAACCATTTGAACACACAAATCAACCATAGTAACTTTCTCAATGATTACTGAAATGCAGCTGGATGCCAGTAACCATCGCTGCAAATCCACACATTCATCATAATAAAACAATCTGTACTGATGGTTAAGTTGCAAAAGACAACTTAACGGTGTCAGTTCACCAACACCGGACTGAGTTTGATGACTCTTCTGACAAATGTGTAAAACTTTGATTTAAGGGACCATCAAGTCCTATGAAGAAAAAAAAATACAACATAAATAATAGTGGCATTTAAATAATCACTCTATTATCGCTACGATAATGTGCTAAAGCAACACTTGATGGGTTTGTATTTCCAAACTTCAGGACTCTCTGGAGCATTGGCCCTGTGCCCTGACATTTAGAGGGCCCAGACTAATATTCATTTTTTAAATAAATGAATGTCCAGATAATGCCTTAATTTGATCAATTACCAAATGGTTTGAGACCATGTGAGGAGACCTGCTGTAAATCATTCCTGCAACTGTCAGTCATGATGGGTCTATTCTAGTTGGGCCATGTTTCACATTTATCACTTATCCTGTGTGTTGGTGGGAATCAGTGATTGCTGTTATAATGGCAGACAACAGAAAGAATGAGATTAGAGATTTAAACCATATTGCAGAAACGGTTTGGAGTCTCACATTTGGAGAGACCAAGACCTTACACCAATATACTTGCCATTAAATCAACCTTTCTAGAACCTGAGCTTCTGCCTGAAGCCAGAGACAGAAAGAAGAGGTCACAGAGACACAATGACCTTTAGATGCATGTTTTAGATGCATCTAAAACCCATTAGATTTGTCCTAATCTACAACACACTGAAGGTTTAATTTCAGTTTCCATTCAAACATAAAAATGGAGAGCAAAATTTGAACTGTGAAATCTGGCTTGTGCATTACCTCTTGGTACGAAGATGATGGATCCGTCGGTCCATTGCCATTTGTGGCACAGTGTTTAGATACACGATTCACATACCCTGCAATTACATACAGTCATGTCAAGTGAACAATGCAGATAAAAGGTGTACAGATGTCAAATTCATCTCTTACTATAACGCCTAGACTTCTGGAGTGAGATTCAAGCTTTTTCTCAAACTCACAGAAAATCCTATGAATAAGCCTAACAGGGACTGGACCTGCAAATTAACTGCAGTTTATGTACTGGACAATAGTTATTTTGTAACACTGAATGCATTTTCCTAATAAACTCAAATCAATATCCTGTAATTTTTAGATACACCTCTTTGTCAACGCGCCTGAATCAAATGAATGGCTCATCAGCACTGAATTACATGCTGATGAGGGGATTCAGCCTTTTGATTCAGGTGTGTTGGAGAAGATTTCCATTTAAAAGCCGAAGGATATTAGCGCTTAAATCTGGACTTGGACACTCCAGTTTTACTCTGAGCCAATCTTACTGTCCACAGTTATCTTTAAACGCAGAGCCCACCGTCCTGCATGTTTTAGGCGTTTCCCTGCTGCTGCACACCTGGCTCAAATGAATGGGTGATTAACAGGCTTCTGCAGTAATTGGAGGCATGCTTAGTGAGGCAACGCAATCATTTACATCGGTTGAGCTGATATAGAGAAATATCTATAACATACAGGACAGGTCCCCCAAAACTGAGGACTAAAACTTGGTTAGTTTGAGTCACAGTTCCGGGCTAGGGGGCCCACTGAATCCCCGACATTATTCTTAAAAGTTTAGGTGTTAAGGGGGAAATTAATCATACAGAGCTAAAATGGATTTCACGCAGTCAAAAAGTCTTTTTTTTTTTTTTTTTTTTGGAGCTCCGACATGTTTATGCTTTAGTGCAACTTTGCTCGTGGTGCACATGTGTTTGGATAACATAAAGATGCTATCTATAAAAATCTATTTAACGAACAGCGACTTCAGCTGCGCAAATGTAGATTTTTTTGACTCCGCCCCAGTCTCAATGACGCTCTATTTAAAATTTCATCAGTCCTTCCTTGGATATTATTAATAAAGTTAATCATGTCCTGCTGAAACTGTGAAAAACAATGGACATATTTCAAGAACAAACTTAGTCATACATAAAACGAAATATACTCATTATGGATACTGGCTAATTATAATAGATAAACATTAATCTTTGACAACTTTATTTATTCGAAGAGAAAAATAAACCTTACTTTATAAAGCTTCCCATATTACTTACCTTAAAAAGTCGTCCGGAGTGACTTTAAATTTAAAGTGGAGTAACAAATTCTCCATGTTTGCCATCGAGGTTGACGCAGGTGAGGACGAAATGTTAATTAGGGAACTCGGCGTTATGGCAAGATGTTTTAGGATTTAATTCATAGTTATCTAACAAAAATGTTTCCACATAAATATATAATTATTATCATATATAGCCTTGTTAACTTAAAATAAAAATTTAAGTTAACAAGGCTATTGTAGTAGAACATTCTACTGTAAGGTAAGGATAAAGCTTCAAACCCTATGGCTCTAAGAAGTTTATTTAATCAATCATTTAATCAACAACCAATTCCTATTTAAGATAGTAAATATAAAATGAACCTATCAACTAATGTATTGTCACTAGTAGAGATTTTATTGTATGGCATCATCCACAGCTAGAGAATTGAGTGTTAATGAACTTAAATGTTCTGGGATTCCAACAACGTTGGGTTTGGTTTGTAGAAAGCATCTTGTGTGTTGCTGAGACGCTGAATCAGTGTACATCACCATGCTCAAACGGGGTCAAGTGTCTAATCTGCAGGTCTATTTTATTTTCATGAATCCATCAAGTCTGTGTTGACCATAGTTTATCACATTCAAAGAGTGAAAACAGAAAATTTGACTAATTTTAACAGATGTTCACCACGGATTGGCGTAACTGCTGTTTGTTTTGGTCATGGTTACCTGATAAAGCTGAGATGAAATGTGTTTTTGCCCTTTTGATGATTAAATAGTGATTTGGACAGATAAATTACGAAGTACACTTGGACTGTACCAACTGTACAGTCATCTTTCTGCTTGTTTTGACAAAGCGAAAGTAACACTGACTTTGAATTCTGATCATTTATGTAAAATTTCCAAAGGAATATTGGAATGTAGTTCCATTCCTAAAACCTGGAACACCTTCCTTCAGGTGAGTGACGTTGGCTGACATCCTGCTAAACAAAGGCAAAGCAGTTCTCACAAGTTATACAACTAAATATTAGTTCAGTGATTCACAGAACAGCTAAGCAAATGTTTGGGTTGAAAGTCAGTGGCTATGGAAACATAAGCTGGTCTAACAGCTTTACTCACTGGCAACGTATTTTTAAAAAGTACTTTGGACATAAGCGGGTAATTTTAACATGAAATTACTTAAGATGTTTGCTAGCGTGGTGCTGAAGGTACTTGGATGAGTTTTTACCTCCATTTACTTTCTCCGTCATGCCATGTCTGACTGGATCTGGTAGCTTTTCTCATCCGGCATATTTTTTTGAGAGCACTTCAAGGCTTTATAAAAGTTGTGAAAGTCTCCTGGAGCCAGTTCGAAGGAAATGTATATTCCAGGAACATCATTTCAAGCAGTTCTCAAAATGCTAGAGTCAAGATGTAAACATGCTAAACAAATTTATACATTTATTAATGGGGGTAGACTTATAATTTTGACACATTCCTTATTGGAGGAAATCCAAATTTGTGCACCCATTCTTTTAGCAATCCCTGAAAAAGGAATAATAATGTTAAAAAATGTATATGAAAACGTCCGTTGTCATTTCATGCCCATGAGGACAGTGTGTAAACTTCGGACCAGGAACATAAGCTCTACAGTGGAAATAAAATTACCCGAGCTGCAGACATGAAATCCGGTGCTTTCTTCTCACAGCTGTGCCCAAGATAGGTGACCATTGTGTTACAACCTACCAAAGCAAACACAATGAGTCCACAATGTGTAAGAGGAGCTGTGTTTACAAAGCCATTAGCAAGTGTTTGAGCCAGAGAAGCCATTTAGTGTTGCGTGCTGTCGTGAAGTATTTACCCTGACAATGCTTAAAGGCTGACTAGTTACACAGGCAGGGGAGGAAACGTCAATATTTTGAGAAGGCTGAGGCTTGCCGATAGCCGTTTCCCCACATTCAGGCCAATTCCAACCGCTCTGCAAAGTGGACGGCCCACAAAACAGAACCCAAATCACCGCCGTGGCAAGTGAGGACAGAGCAGTTTGGGAAAATATGCTTTAGTTTCAATGCTTTCATTGTCTCAGGTTTCACATTTTGTACACCGGTGAACTATGTCGTGTCTCATACGAGTAACGGCAAGATTCAATGGCAGTGAAAAAAAAAAAAAAAAGAAAATAGAACCCAACATTTGTAATAGAAAAATGATAGTGAGTTCATACAAAATTAAACTAAATGATTGGAGAAAAAAAAAAACTAAACAAAAAAAAAACAGTTCTACAAATTCCAGTGGTAGAAATGCCTTCTGTTGTCAATTTGCAAAGTGCACATTAGAGCTCATACTTTTCAGCTTCATTTGCTGTGAAGTGAAATGGCTGCGATTTCAGACTTCGGGACACGTAGATGACAACTCATTTCCCAAGGAGAAGTGTAGCATGCCAACTCAGTGACCTCATCAGCCAAGTTGTCCAGGCATTCACTGTGAAATGATATCAGACACGGCAGGAGGAAGAAACGACTGCAAATTAATAGACGGGCGGGAAATGCACTATTGCCTCAGCTCAGGCCTACAGTAAGGCGAGGCTAAATGTTTCACAGGTTAGAAGAATTACAGTGAAGAAAATGAAGCAGATAGTCATGTACAAAAGAAGAGTTTTTGGGGGCGGTGGGGTTTTGCAGGTATGTAGCGCCATCTGCTGTTCAGCGGCTTACAGACAACTAAATCCACCAGTTCCTGCAATCCGACACAGAGCAGAAGCGGAGCAAGTCAACATTATTCTAAGCAGCAGTAAGGCCGTGTTTACACCTCCACCTCATCATGCGATTCTGTCTGACCTTTCTTCCCTGCTGACAGACAAAAACACGCATAAGCTGCATAAACAAGTGTGCACTTGTCAGCAAAGCAAACTGTGCGCTGAACCTGAAAGGGGCCCTCGGCTCAAAAGCATAGAAGGAAATGAGTTTGACCTCTACTTTGTCTGCTTCTACCGGTGAATGAACCAGTTAATCCTTTTCAGGATGATGATGCATATTTTCTTTGATCACTTTTTCTTGGGTATGTTTTACTGATACACAGCTCTTGAAAAAAAAAAAGAGAGAGAGAGACTACTTAAAATGATCAGTTTCTTTGATTTTACTTTTTATATGTTTTGAGTAGAGCAGACTTTGTTCTGTTATTCTATTAGCTACTGACATGTCTGAAATCCCAAGCAAGACTTTTGTATTTACTTGTGGAAAACTGAGAAATGGTCAAAATAGCGAAAAAGATGCAGTGCTTTCAGACCTCAAATAATGCAAAAAAAAAAAAAAAAAACCTAGCCTCTACACTTATTCTATTCCCTGGTGAATTTATATAATATATATATATCTATATCTATATATAATTTTTTTTAGTTGGATAAGATTGAACATTTTGAGAAAAAGCTGCCCTGTAAACTTGAACCTCAGCATGCATTTACTGAGATCAAAGAAAAACCTCCGTGACTACAATTATCAGCAACTCAAAAAAAGCGATAAACAAATGCAAGTAGTTTAAGACACACTTTACCTTGTGTAGAAATTAGTTATCCATGTCTCGTTTTCACTAGTATAAATGTATATTTCTGTTATTCACTCATCAAAATGTCAAAGACAAGAAGACACACCATACAAGAAAGAGAATCTTTATCAAGTTCAGCACTAAAAGAAAAATGGCTTCTTCCTTAAGACTGTTGCTCTAACAGGTTTGTCAACGAATGCAGAAGGCTCCGATTTTAGATACTTCAATAATGAAAATCTTCACTTTGACATGAAGAAACTGATACGCATTTAAAATTGCACAAACCAGATCAAGCACCGTTTTTGGGAGAAA